TTGCTTACTTTTCTAAGTATAAAGAGTCTAAATGTCTAAGAGCATATTTTTTCATTTTGCTAGCAAGTGATATGCTTAGGAGACTCAACCATAGTCCCATATAGATTTATCCCTATTCCAGCTTGCCTTTAAACTGTAGAGTATCTGTTTGGGACCGTTGCATACTAATTTATAATATCCTTTGATCGATTTTTAAAGGGTCTCGTATATGTGGATTTTGCCGATGACGCATACCTTGCTGTAGCTATAGGAAAGAACACAAAAAAAAAAAAAAAAAAAATTCTTGGGAAGAGGATAAACATTGCAAGATCAAATCTGAAGCAAAAGAGAAAGGATTCTGCTAGTCATGGGACCTCTCGAGAACATGGTAGGCTAAGTGGAATTATGTTTTATCTTTGTTGTTACTCGTGTGTGTTTGTTTGTGTGCAATGCAGTCTATAGACATTTGCATGTTTGTGTTTCCCACTTCTACCTTTTATTGTCTTACTCCTTTGGGTTAAATGGCAGTGCAAAGTGGTAATCAAATTTTCAGGAAGTCTAGAGTGCCACACTCTGCTGCTAATAAGCATAGTGATAGCATTCAACTAAAGGGGAGGAACACATTTGCAATGCCAAGGAAATCAGACCACTTGGTGTCCCCTCGACAAATCTAAAAGTCAGGGAAGTGGAAGATGAGAAGCCGAAGTCAAATAATGAGTTCAGAGAAATGTCTCTTAAGAAGTGAGGTTTGTTCCTGGGGTTACATGTTACATGATAAGTAGAATAGCTCAGTAATTGAGAAACTTCTCTTTCTTATAAAAAACGTAAGGTTTTGCCTTAACATGTTTCTGTAAACAAAGTTATGACAAAAGATACCTCTTTGAGGACGAAAAATATATGTGCTATTGAGATCAATCTATATCAGTACCCTTCTTGTAAATTTCTTCCAGATATGTCAAAGTTTATACCCATTTTATTCAAAAGGGTAAAGTTCTAATATGTTTCCTGTGGAACATATATTTCATCCAAATTTTTATGAGGATAGCCTCAATACCCTACCCCAAGATTCAGAGCAATTTTAGCCAATTAGATGGCGATCAAGTTCCTTTTTATGTGACAAATGACCAATGTATAGGATCCAACAAGATCATGAAACTATTATGGGTTGGTGGTCTATTCTTGGTCTAAAATAACATTGAATATTCACAGTGCAACTGTTAGGTTCTTTGCCTTTCTATACCTATTGATACTATTCTAGCGGAGAATCCATTTTACTATTTGTCATAGACGAAAATCCTAATGTAGAAAGATGGACCACTAGAGCACTATTAAGTTTGTGTACTGAAACAGCAATGGCCTTGCATCTCATGCTTGTGGAAAATGTGAAAAAAGAGGAAGAATATGAAGAATATCATCTGTATGCTCGCCTGATTAAAATTTACACACACATAAATTCATTTTTGTTGTCTGTTTTGAATGAATATCCATATCTCATATGGTTATGTTTGTTTCACTTAGACTCTTCATGAATCTATTGGATGGTTTAATAAAATTTCTAGTAGAATCGAGAATGAGGTTTTCACTTTGTACATGTTAGATCATGAGTTAGTACCAATCTTCAAAAAAGATCTAATTGTTTCACTTTCCATTTTCGGAATGGAATATTTACATAATCCCCATGAATAGGATAAACGTTATTCCATGGTATTTGTATGATATTCCTTCTTAATTTTAAGCGAGTACTTGAGAGGGTTTCAGTGATCTATGAATTATGTTTCATTTTTCGTTTCTTTTATGTACTAAGTCACTAAGTGTGAGATTCCCCCCGACGACCATTATTAACTTGTTCTCTCATGGGTTCTTTCCCATGTCGCCTCCTGGAATCAGCTTGTCTTCTAACTTCACGCCCATGAGTTTCATATTTGGAAGGGGTATTTATACAAGTTTACACCAAAGGAAGTAGAGAGGATTTCGGGATTGCCATCAGACTTGGTAAGCGATTTCATCATTTTAGTGATTGCGTGCTAGGATCGCGCATATATTGAGTCGTTCTTATCCCTCCTGAGATGTTCGAGATAAGGCTTATCCCTTAGTCTGTCAAACAGCTATATTGGATGGTCACGACGAGGTTATGCTGAGTCGGACTTCAAGATTCCATGACCTCGAGATCACATCGATCTATTGATTTTTGGGCTACTGAGACTTTCTAGCTTATGAAAAAAATACACACAACAGATATTAAAGTAGAGGTCATGATTTGAATCTCTCATGTATTACATCTTGCTGTATTTGGGTTGGTCTTTCTGTCTGAATTTGGGCTTGGTTTATGTAACATGTGAAGATGCCTCTTTTTCAGCTTAAGCTTTTAGGTCAAGTTGTTTTTCAACAAAATTGTTGTTGAAATTTCGTTATAATTCAATTTCTTGTGGTCTTTCTTGCTTTTAATATAAGTAATCAGTTTATGCATGCTTAAAGTTAAATGTTTTGCACTTAAATAATATTTTTATAAAGGAGATTAAATTAATAGTAATAATTTTGATTAAACATTATTGAAGTTATAAAAGTAGTGTTCTCAATTGACATAAGAAAATTTTAATCAATAAGCAAACACTGATTATAAATGTTTAATATTAAAATTCATGGATTCCCTTGAAATTAACTTGGCTTCTATGAGCATCGTGATTAAACATGATTAAAATTATCTCATAAAAGTTGTGGTTCATATGATTAACATAAAAACAAAGGGGAGAAGATTGAAAATTTAATCAATAAACAACAAACGAATGTTAAATAAATACATAATGATCCATCCACTACCATTAAATAAGAGAAATTAATTGAAAGAATTAGCATGTCAAAACATTGAGGGAAAAGTTCAAGATTCTGTTTCATATTTCATTTATTCTGTCGCAGAATATGATGCGTTGAAAAATTAGAATAGAAAAGTCTTATAGCTATAAATTTTTTCTCTCTTCTAATTGATTCCATCTATTATTGGAAGTATAGTCTCTAATTAACTTCAAATCCGACTTCACTGCCTCGTGGCTAGGGATGAGCCGCGAGCCGAGTAGCTCGCGTGCTACTCGAGCTCGGCTCGTCCCAAGCTCAAGCTCTACTCGAAATCAGTCGAGTCGAGCTCGAGCTTGAGCAGCTCATGAATAATGATGAGCTGAGTTCGATTCAGGCCGAGCTCGGCTCGTCAGGCTCGCGAGCTTAAACGAGCTTAGGGGGCAATTTGCAAGATTTTAAAACTTTTTTTACTTTTAAGTTGTTAAAATTGCAAATAGCACCCATATAGACAAAAACGCAGAAGTGCAGAACCCATTTCAATTTTCTAAAGCTGAAACGAAACTAAAAAAGTAAAACCCATTTGCGATTTTTCATTAACCCTAAGTCCTAAATCTCCGCTGCCATTCGCCGTAAATCAGTCACTCACGACTCACGAGTCACGCCGTCATCGTGGACAACTTCGCCGGTGTCATTCGCTATCACCGAGTTAGCGTCATCTCCGTTCTCTGTAGAGTACAGACTAGTGATTTCGTTCCAACAATCCAGCCTTCCAGGTAAGAAATTTGCTCTATCGGTTTGTGAGTTATCTTCTCTTGCTTCATCTTTATGTCTACAACAAACATTTAGATGCAAATGTATATTGGATTAGCTGGTATTTATGATGGAGGCGATAGAACAGAGATGCACTATGGATTATTCATGAACAGAAACTTGCTCTGTCAATAAAATGAGTGATAGGAGTTGCTATCTTTTGTACTCAAATGGTGCCAATGCAACGACCATTTATGTCCTATGTGGTAGGCTGGTAGCAATGCTTTTAAGAAATATTAAAATGGGCACTATAAGTTCAAAGCCTGGGTACTTAACTGACTGAAATTCTAGTGATCTTACCAGCTTTCGAAGTGGCGAGCGGCAATACAAGTAAAAACATTCATCAATAACTATAAGTACCATGAAGCCTTTGTTACTTGAGAACAATGGTGATCGAAGAATTTTGCTATGTGCTACTGCTTTTTTTTTTTTTTTTTTTTTTTTTTTTTTTTTTTTTTTTTTTTGAATTTTTAACACCTTATAAATTTGCTCCCACATGACAAAGTAAAATAGAAGAAACCTTTTACATTAGAATGTTGACTCTATACCTTATTTATCTATATTTTCACTAGGATGAAATTCTTATAGGTTTGAATTGACAAAATTTCTTAAATGTAGATCTGGATTCCTGTTTGCCAATGCAGTAAACGCTAATACTCATTTAAACCACTTTCATAGAATGATTGATCTATTGGATTGAGAAATTTTGAATATTGTATAATATTACCATCATTTATTTACCATGAGAATGGTTTCATCCCAATTTACCAATGAACTGATGAAACAAAAAAATGATCATGTGATGTGAGACACAACAAAGTTGATGAGTTTAATTGTTGTTATCGTGAGATATTCGTACATTTGGCCACATGTCGTGAATTATAAGCTACTGCAACATGGACATGCGCAATGCAAAAATAGTTTTAGTCTTTTGTTGCACATTTGTTTACTAATCCAAAATATGCAATTATTCTTGTACTTTAATCTTCAAATTTAGTAGATAAGTTTTATGCTTTCTTCCATTATAGGTATCAGGTATGGAAGGCTCATCTAGTAGCTGATCCACATTGATTGACTCAAGTTCACCAGTTCAAACCCCAGGAAGTAATCCGGATCCAACTGTAAGTGCAAGTGCAACTGCAACTTGTGGTACTAGTCCAACTGTTGAAGAAGAAAATGATGATTTTGATAACCCATTCTAAAGGAAGAAAAGAGTGAAGACATCTCTTGTATGGGCAGAATTTAGAGAGGTTCTTCAACCCGATAATACGAAGAAGGCAGAATGCATCCATTGTAAGGCCAAATTGTCCATTAATGCGACTAGAAGCACAACTCAATTTTTTAGACATTTGAAGGGGTGTCTAAGGCGAAGGGTTTTCAATAATCAACAGCAACAGTTGAACTTTCCGGTTGCGGATGCAATGGCAGTAGGCAGTGGGCTGCCTCCTCTTATAGGTGGGAAGTTTGAGATAGCTCGGATGAGGGAACTAGTAGCGCAATGGGTGCTTATGCATGAGCACCCATTCAAAGTTATCGAGCAAGCGGGTTTTAATAATTTGCTAAGATATGCGAGTCCTGGTTGGGAAAAAATATCACACGTCACAAGTAAATATGATTGTATGAAGGTGTATGAAATGGAAAAGAAGAAGTTGAAGGCTGTTTTGAAGAATATTGATAGAATAAGTTTGACTACTGATCTGTGGAATTCAAGTAATCAGAAACTTGAGTACATGGTTTTGATGGGGCATTGGATAGATACTAATTGGAGGTTGAACAAACGTGTGCTCAGTTTTGTTCGTTTAAAGCCTCCTCGCGGTGGTGTCCAGATTGCAGATAGCGTATTTAACTGTTTGCGGGAATGGGGAATTGAGAACAAAGTCTTCACGATATCAGTTGATAATGCATCTAGTAATGACTTGGCAATCAAGGTTCTAAAGGAAAACTTTTCTATAACCAAGAAGCTTCTTTGCGGGGGAAAGTTGTTTCATGTTAGGTGTTGCGCCCACATATTAAACATAATGGTGCAAGATGGTCTTAGTCAGATTAGGCACATTATCAAAGATGTCCGTGATAGTGTCTACTACATCAATCAATCGGAGAGTAGACTACAAATCTTTTCAGAAATTGTGCAGCAATTGCAGTTGCCTCACAGAAAGTTGATATTGGATTGTAAAACGAGGTGGAACTCAACTTATGAGATGTTGGCTACTGCACTAAAATTCCAAAGCGTGTTTCCAAGATACTCTGAAAGAGACCAGCATTTCACTTCTTGTCCCCTTGAGGAAGATTGGGTTAAGATACAGAAAGTTTGTGAAATTTTGAAGGTTTTCAATGTTACCACTAACATCATTTCAGGGTCAGAATATCCAACATCAAATAAATTTCTTGCCGAGCTTTGTAAGGTGAAGGTTTTGTTGGATAAACATGCTGAGGATGAAAATGAATTTTTGAGGACCATGGTGACGAAGATGAAAGGGAAATTTGATAAATGTTGGGGGGAGTGCAATTTGTTGATAGCTATAGCTGCTGTTTTGGACCCTAGGTGCAAAATGAGAGTATTGGACTATGCTTTCCCTAAGATTTATGGTGATCTTGACGCACGGGTTCATTCTACAACAGTTCGGGATGCCTTGTACGAGTTGTATAGGGAATATGTGACCACTAGTCAATCATCTGCTGATCAACATATGCCTGCAACTAGACAGGGTAAGGGTAGGGGGAGTGGGAGTGGGACGAATGTAGATGATGACTCTTCTGGTTGGTTGGATTTAATGAATTATGTGGATGTGATTGAAACTACTGCCTCGGAAAAATCGGAGTTAGATTCCTATTTCGAAGAGCCATGTTATAAGTGTCAAGTGGATTATGAGACGTTTGATGCCTTAAAGTGGTGGCAAGCAAATAGTTTGAAATATCCAGTGTTATGTAAGGTGGCTCGTGACATACTTGCTGTTCCTATTAGCACGGTGGCTTCAGAGGCTACCTTTAGTACGGGAAGTAGAGTTATTGACAATTATTGATCTCGACTGTCTCCGAACACAGTGCAAGCACTACTATGTGGAGGTGATTGGTGTTGCAGTCAACTAGGACTAATGAAGATGGATGAAGTAAGTTCAATTAACAAATAAATTATTACTGTTTTTATGTCTTGTTTATTTTGAATATTATTTTCTTTTATTGTAACGTTAAACTTTCTAATTTTTTCTTATATATGTTTTAGTCGAATGAGGAACCACTGGAGATTACCCTTCCTATCTCTTCAGTTGAAGGGATTGAGTAGATTGTTTGACCCTCAAACATATTGGCAGGTTTGTAAATATATAGCCCTTTTGTAGTTTTTTTAATTTCTATGCAGAGAACCTGGTTATTCAATATAGATATTGAGATTATTTAGTATTGTTATGTTGATTTTGATTTGGGGAATGGTGATTGCTGTGTTGATTTTGATTTGGTGAATGGTGAATTGCAAACATTTGACTTGCAAATTATTTGCTTCCTTTGTATTTACACTTTGCAGGTGGGAGCGTGGGAGGCCTGGCTTTGGGTGGCTTTTGTGCCTTTCTTCTGCTTTGGGTGGCTTTGGGTTTTTCTCTCCTGGTCTACTCAGATTTTGCTGTCACAAAGTCTATATTTCTTGAATTAGTTTTCTCCTCTTTTGTCTTTGTATATAGCTTCATGGAGTATACTTTTGTGTTTGTATATAGCTTTATGTGTTTGGACTCTGGACATAGGCACATAGCTTCATGGAGTGTACTTTTGGTGTGTATATAGCTTCAGCCTTCATGTGTTTGTACAATTGTAATGCATATTTCATCCAACAACTTTAAACTTATCATTTCATTTTATGTTTTGGAAGATTGTTGGTGTTGGAAATTGAAGATTGTGTTGAATTATGGGCGAAATTTGCATTTATCTAAGTACAATGTTGACAAAATTTGCTTGAATTAGGTTTCTTAGACAGATTTATAGGTGGGATATTGTATTGTATGTACAATTGTATGTAGAATTGTATGTAGATAGGTGGAAGTGGAAGTTGGAACTGCAGGAAGATTTAAAATTACAATTGTAGTCTGTCTCAAGATTTAAAATTACAATTGCAGTCTGTCTCGAGCTCAATCAAGCTCGTTTGAGCTCGTTTGAGCTCGAATAACCGAGCTCGTTTGAGCTCGATTAACCGAGCTCGAGCTCGAGCTCGAGTACCCCTTCACACTCACGAGGTTGAGCTCGAGCTTGGTACTATTCATCACAAGCCGAGCTCGAGTACCGAGATACTCGGCTCGGCTCGGCTCGTATACATCCCTACTCATGGTGCACCTCTAATAATAGTCTCTAATAAACTACATAAAAATTGATCTTATAAATGAAGAAGTTTTAACTCGAAAGGGATATGGACCTAATGTTGTTTGCTACAATACTTTAATCAGATGGTATTGCAAGAACAAAGAAGTCAACGAAGTTCTTAGTCTTTATGAAGAGAAGATTTCAGAAGGAATTAGAGACAAAAAATGACTTAAATTTTCTTTTACATCTCGTTTCCTTGACATTTCTTTGTGTGCATATTACAATTTACATGACATGCAGCATAAAAACTCACTTCCTTTGAACCAGATCTGATGCAATTTCACACAAAAAAATGACTTAAATTTTCTTTTACATCTCGTTTCCTTGACATTTCTTTGTGTGCATAAAGATGTTTCCTTGTTTATGAAAAGATATTCAATAATCAATGATACTTTAATTTGTGACTTTTGACTAAAATAAAGGGGTCTTATTCATCTGTCTCTTGTTTTTGCTTTTTTCATTTGCATCCATATACTTTCACCTCTAACTAGGGCCTTGAAGAACTTTTCAAGAATTCAAGGACCTTCTTGTAACGAACAAAGAGAGAGAAAGAGACAGAATCAATCGAAGAAAAAATTGGGATTTATTTTTTCATTAAGTGTTTATGTATAATGAAATAGTGAAAATTAATTTTACTTTATAAAAGAATTGTAAATATGCCGATGGATGTTAGTGTAAGTACAAAAAACAGAACAGGGCTCATGTAGGGAGGGATCATGGCATATATTTAAGGAGGAATAGTCACTCTACCTAAAGGGTTAATCTTATAGGTTTCTGAGTAGCAACATTTTTCTTCTCTCATTTTTGTTTTTCAGGGCACTAAGAGTTGTTGCAATATTTGAACACGATTAGATGAATAAACTTTTCAGAATGTCAAGGTATAGTCAGACTAGTTATAAGGAAACAAAGTTGAAATAGAAGAAAAAAGAAATTGCAGAAAATTGTTGTGAGAGATGAGAAAGATGAAATTAATGTCTATCAAGTTTTGGTCACTAAAGTGTTGGTCATGCACTAGCGAGGACTAGTGCATCAAATTAGTCATTTGAAAATTGGAAAGCTCATTAATTTGCGGAAAAAAATTCAAAGTGAAATCAATACCAATTTAATTATTATGTCTTGCTTCTACACGCATATCAAGGAGAGATTGGTGTGTTGAATTGAGTCCACTTCCACCCATCAAAACCAAATTAATTAATTAAACATAAAAAAAATAAAAAAATAAAAGCAAATTGGGTTCCGCCTATATAATTAATAAAGTAAACTACTTTTTCTCAGCCTCAATGATATTTTTTCATCTAAAATTTATATTATGTTATCGGAAATATACTTTACTTTTTCAGTTGACGTTTTGATAAGTTACTAAGAGCCAGGGTTAAAGGAGTTTTTTAAAGTAAAAACTGATGAATCAAATGGTAGTCATCGATTGAATATTTATCATGGAATCAACCAAAAATTAGTTAAAAATAAAAAACTCTAGCTTTACGATAGTCAGAAATCGGCAAGAAATCAGGTACCGAAGTGAGAAAGGTTTTATAGAGAAGAGACCAAAAGTTCAAATGATGACAACGGAGAGAATTTTTGCTGCTAGAATCGGCTTTGGATAATAACATAATATTAACTTTGGGTGGAGAAGTAATATTTTGAAACTTTTTGGATGAAAAAGTGTTATTAAGGCAAACCTTGGGTGGGAAGAAATCGTTTACTCATAATTAATAATATATTAGTTGCATATTATTGTCCTTAACAACCACAACACAAGATACAATGTATTCCACATGCAATGCAACTCAGTGAACGATTACCTAGCTGCTTGTTCATATTTTAATTTGGCCTTTCTTTATTTAAGAAATGTAACATTACTCTTAATTCCCTTCATTAAACATTAATTAATGAGTCTTAATTACTATGTTAATATGGTTATCTGGTTATACACTAGTTTCATTTCTCAATTTCTAACTATCTTAAAAACAAGACCAAATAAATTGGCTTAATTAACCATAAACCCTTTGTTTTTTAGAAGATCATAATACTTTTCAAAAAAGCGAAACTATTATCAATGAAGGAAGACTATCACAATTTTTGTTCAATGAGATTTCTATAATCAAATCACTAGTCTTATGGTTGGATGACAATATTTTAGCCATCTGGATATATTATCCAAAGATCTTGTGTTCGAGTCAAGTCATCGCCTAAGCCTAACACATTTGTAACTTATTTGACCTATTAGACTTATAGGATATTCAATGGATCATAGAGAGCCGGAGATTAGTTAAAAAAATCTATGAGATCACAACATATAATTTTGTTTCATATAATACGCTTAATTGATAATTAATAAATATGATTAGATAGAAATATGTTATAATTTATAATTTATTATAAAGTTAAAAACTATAAACTTATTGAAATTTGATATAATAACAAGAATCTCTATTGTTTGTAAACTCTCAATAAATTATTATAAAATATATTATTGCGAGTTAATAAATATTTACTAAATTACCCTCTTGTTTTAAAAATATTAGGAATATTTAATGTTATTCAATCGAACCTCGGAGGATTATTGCCATTAAATCTTTGTTTGCTTCAACGAAGGAGACCCAGGAGCATTTGTACTTTTTACTTAAATTGAATCATTTTATGATTTACTATATATCTAGATGGTCTTCATTAAAGGGTCCTAAAACTTTCCCTATCAATATTATTCAATCCACTGCGGAAATGGTAGTTGGATTTCCATTTCTTCAACAGAGGGAATCTAAAAAAGTTTCTAATTATCGATCTGAAATGACCCTACAATGTGCACTTGTATGCAGTGTCGATTGACCAAGTGAAATTTTGTTAACTTGCCTTTTTCTTAAAGCTAATGTCAAAGATGCACAAAAATTAGTTGGTGATATGCAACTTAATGGTTTTACCTTATTCTTGGACACATATCATTTTCATCGATGGACTTTGCAAGAATGGATGTGTTTCGGGAGAAGTGGAAATGTTTCATACTTTAGTAAATAATAAGTTTGCAGATGACCTTGAAAGCTTGAATTCCCTTTTTGATGGATTATGTAAAACATGGATATCTGAAACTGCTCAGCAGCTGTTTAGAAATTTCTCTCATTCAAAGCCTAGTACCAAACATTGTTGTCAGAAATTTTGTAACTGTTTTTAGAATTAGTTTTGGTGGATACCATTGTTTCCAAATTTTACCAGCAATTGGGGTCATAATAGAGATTACAATGTTATAAGAAATACATTCATAACAGAAGCTCTTTATTAAGATAAGTGTATGTGCGACTGTCTAATCACTTGATATATGTTGATCATATATGTTAATGTATAGTGCACGTTGGGGATAAGCTAATGTAGAACATTACAATAGTATCATAAAGTGTTAAGGACATCAAGTCAACTCCTTTGAGCTTCACTATAATTACAAAAATTCACTTAAGATTTTTATTATTTTATAAATTTGATTATTTTTATTATATTAAACCTCAAGGTTGTCAATATAACTCTATTGTATAATACAAAACTAGTAATTATATTAAACTATACATACTATTATTTTAGTAATATAGATCTTTCAGCAATATAGTTAGCGTGATAATCTTATTAATACGATAACGAAACATTATTCATGTAACTTCTAAAAAGTAAAAAACAATATCCTTTGAATTTTTAA